GGGACTCCAGGATCATGACCTGAGCCGAAGGCAGTCGCTTAACCAACTGAGCCACCCAGGCGCCCCCAGAGAAGTTAATTTTTTATGTTCAAACAGCTAGTCTCTGGTGGACCCAGAACTCCAAACAGCTGTGGTCCTTTGCCTCTCTACCACTACCTAAGCCCTCCAAATTTTATGTCCTTGCTTCTTACCCTTCCCTCCACTGGAGCGCCCTTCCTCATCTTTTCTGCCAGTCATGATCCTTCCCAGTCCTTCCCATTCTTCAAGCCATAGTTCACATTCTACTTCTTCCCTAGGGTGTTTTGAATTTCACCATTTGGAATTGACTTTCTTTCCTCCAGGGTTTCATGGCCATTTTATTGCACTTCTATTAGACCACTAAAAATGTGTGTGCTTTGCTTACCAGTGTCTGTGTTTGCATCTCTCACTAGTGTGTCAGCGATGGGCGATGGCTGTGTTTACAGTTCTTTCAACCTCTTGCCTCGTGTTTAGTGTGGTGATTTGCATTCTAGGTGTTAAAGAAACATTTGTGAAATCAGAAGAATGAGAGAAGGCTCTGGGCGGGTGTTTTGGCCGCAGGAAGGGGGCCCTGACACCTGCTGGGAGAGAAAGGAAGTAGCATTGGCCAGCTGGCCAGGGAGGACACCAAAGACAAACTTTGCCTAGTTCACAATAGGCAAAAGGCTGGTCCTGGGTACACACAACATCTTTTATAAATAAAACTGTTTTATTCATGGTGAACCAGAGAGGAAGAAACAACAGGTGCTAAAGATGAATAGACTGTTGTTAGCTCATTTATTGACTGGAAACCAATCCTAGATTTTGCTTCTTCCTGTTCTATCAAGTGGCCTCAGCCCTGGTGTAATTTTTACTTTTTAGTACCGTCTGCACCTGTGGCCTTTGGACCTAATGTTTATGACAGATGGGCCAGGCCGCGCTTGCACTGTTTAGTGGGTAGCTTTCCTTCTGTAGCACTCCATGCCACTGTCGGCGTGGCATGGGCCCAGTGGGCATGTGTGTTGGGAAAAGCCCATGTCTGCATCCATTGTTCAGCTGCTGTCCTCGGAGTCTAGCATTCCCTGGTTGGGTCCACTTATTGCCCATCATTTCTCTTTCTTGCCAGGTCATTGTCCCTTGGAATAGAGTGCTCAATGGCAGACAAATCAGTGGGGGTGGGTACATTCACCTCAAATGTTAGAATTGGACACATTTCCACTATGTTTCAATCTCCTTCTTTATGGCTATTATTTTAAGAGATTTCCTGATTATTTTTTGTTCCTCCCTTTAAAGAAGGTCTAAATGCACCTGGTACACTGACATATGGGAGGGGAGCCTTCTCTTCTGTCTTGAAAGATAGAATGCTGTGTGTAAATAGTGCACTTTGGACTTTTGTGGGGAGATTCACCTGTTGGCTTGTTTGGTTTTCTTCCTAACATATTGGTAAGTCATATTTTAGACCAGCACAAAGTAAATGTTTGCCTAATGGACATGGAGACAGTAATGATGGCAGGTAGCTCACCTTGAAGCTATGTTAGCCTGAAGAAATAGACCAGGTGTCGTGTCCAAACACCCCCTCCTTTATCCTAGCTTCTTTGCAAAACATCATGCTTTCAGGGGGAAAGGGACCCATTTTTATAACCATCAATTCTTTTTTCCTACAATGGCACACTGTCATTTAGTACCTGTCTCTAGTCAACCAGAAGAGAACATTCTATTTGGATAAGAGAGGAAAGTGGTAAAATATGTCTATTTATATGTTACCACACCACAGGAAAGTGGGCACAGAGCCAGCTTTGACATCTTTGCCGCATGCCCTCCTCACTCTGTGCACATGTACATGAGGGGGCAGAAGATTGGGCTCTCCAGAGGCCAACAGATTTTCATTCCCATGCTATTACTTTCTAGACGCATGACACAAAGCAACATCCCCTCTCTGTGCTTGAGATGGAAGGAGTTCATGTATGTAAAGCACATAGCACATGATCAAAGCTCTTAGGGAGGACTGATGGCAGTGGTGTTTGTTAGGATATGTGTTGATGCCACCAGAGATGATCGGGTAGCTTATCCCTGCATCCTTGATTTCTCCTTTTATAGCCTCATAACATTCCATCACTCAGAAGACTTTCTCCAGTCCATTTCTGGAATACGTCACTATGTGTCCAAGAAAAAAGCAACTTCTGTTTGTGGGTTCACTGGGCTCCCTGATGCCCACTTCCTTTTGGTGACTTCACCATGTGCCACTAGAGCCCCCTAACAGAAGGGCACAATCTGGCTGCTCCCTTGTTAGAGCTCTGAGGGCTTCTCATTCCATCTCAGTGGATATCTGCCACTTCACTGAGGCCTTCACAACCAGGCTGGGACCCAACTCCGCCCAACTCCAGCCTCCTGGCTTCCTCTTTACCACCTGGCCCTCTGGTCTCCCCGGGGCTTCCAGCCTCACACTTTTTCAGGGCCTTTGATTTCTGCCGGTTTCTCCATCTTCTCTAGACACCCACCTACCCAGCATTGGTGACTCTGTGTCCTTTAGGTTTTCATTCAAGGTCATCTTTTGAGAAAGGCCTTCCCTGACCTGACCATACAAGTAGATCTTCCTGTTCTTCTCTGTCTTACCTCCTTAACATCTTTCCTTCCAAACAGCATTTACTAGCCTTCGTTGTGCCAAAAGGCACTATGCAAAATCACCATTAACACCACAGGGCTTATGGGGAAAGGGGTGAGAGCACAATACTCAAGACTGTCAGTGACACATTAAAAGGAAGATAGAATCCAAATAAAAATGCTACCCTACTTTACACTTGTTAAATGAGTAAGCGACATGAATAAATGCCAGAAGCGTGATGGCACCTTGCCACCTGGAGGTCAGTATTTGCTTGTGGAAGTGGAGTTAGAGGTCTGTGTGCGGCTTGTGTGTTGTTGCCAAGTGGTGGAAAGAGGTAGTTTGATGTGGAAGGGAAGTGTGATGTTAGTTGTGGGTGGCAGCTCCTAATCAGGGGGTGGCCGCTCATAATCAGGGGGTGGCCAAGGGACAGGTAGATACTCAAGGTGTATGAGTGTGCATTTGTTTTCCTGGTTGACCTGGCTCAGCCACGGGCGGCTTTTCTTTCTTTTTTTTTTTTTAAAGATTTTATTTATTTATTT